GAAGGCAGCCCCGCACCTGGTGTAGGGTGGCGGAGGTGCGTCGTGCACCCCAGAGGCCGCTAACGCCTGTTCGTAGGTGGGGAGGCCTGGCGGTGGGGGTGGCGGCAGGGGCGTTGGCGGGCCCGGAGGGCTCAGGGGACTCAGAGGGCTGATGAGCTCGGCCCTGGGAACAGAAGGTGCACAGTTAGCAGGTGAAACCCACGGGATAGAAAGACTGGGGAGAAGGAGAGAGGACGTAGGGACCCAGAAACTCTGGGGATGGTAGGGGAACATGTGGAAGGGAGATGAACCAGGCAAGAGAGAGGGTCACCTTCAATCTCACACGCAGAAAAGCACCTCAAAATGACAGGCAGATGCGCACGGACAGGCAGATGCGCACGGACAGGCAGACCCAGAAATCAACAGCTGCTGGGAGAGACTCTTATTCACAGACACACAGGTACTCCAGGTATAGGCAGAGGAATGGAGAGAAAGCCAGCCTTCAGAGGCAGGTGGACGCACACAGAGACAGTCACAACACAGAGATGCCCACTGACAACAAACTCTTGGCAACCCCCAGGCCCACCATACTTGCAAGACTGACGCTCAAGCACCTTTTTGGACCCCGCCACTGAGAAAGACACACCTAGACAACTCCTACAGGCGCACGAAACCTTTGCTACACCCCGTGCCACGGAAACTGACATACCACAGCCGCCCACAGACACCCAGAGACCGCAGGCTGCTGCTTCACCAGAGACAATAGTCACACACGGATAAGCACACCGGCACCTGGTACTGCAAAGGCCGGCAGTAAATGCTGGTGGAGCTCCTACTGTGTGCCAGGTACTGAGGATACAGTCAGACAGACACGCCACAACCGGACACAATCTCACAGACTCACTCTCCACACGACTGTCTCCTCAGATCTCTCAGCAGCATCCACCTGCCCCCCCCACCCTTGGCCCATCTCCTTAGGTTGACCTGTCCTCCCCCCTTCTCTCCAGCCCCCCAGCCCCTTCCCCCCTGAAGTCGCCTTACTCTTGAGGACTGGGGAGCTGGCTTCTGCTACGTCGCCAGTGTAGATACCAAAAGGCTCCCAGGCCGGCCAGGACAATGACCAGGATGCCAGATGTCAGCCCCACAACCAGGCCTGCTACATCCACTCGTCCACGCCCTGTGGAGGAAGGGGGAGGGGGAGCGGAGAGGGAGCCACTGCCCCAGGGGCTGCCACCCACCCCAACATCCAAATGCTTTTCTCCTGAGGGAGGAACACTGGCCAAGAAGCAAGGCAGAGCTGGGGCTGCTTCCTGGCTGTGTGATCGGAGGCAACTCACCTCACTCATTTCTCTGAGCCTCCATCTCCTGCTCTGTAAAATGGGACCATAATCCCTCTCTGACAGGTTGCAAAAATTCAATGAGATTAAACGCACAGAAGACCTATGATAACTTCAACTGGTACCAGAAAATACGGCAGCTGTATCCCCACGATGACAGAAGCCCCTCCCTAGAGGGTGGTTCAAGACCATCCTAAGCAATCCATCTGCTAAGGCTGCAGGTGACACACTACAGGTAAGGTAGGGAGGTCAGGTGGCCAACTCTCAAGTCCCCCGCCCTCCTCACACTGAACACTGCTAGATTTAACAAATAATAATATAGGACACCCCACGAAACTTTACATACACAACAAATAATTTTTAAATACAGATATATCCCATATATTATTAAATGGGGACATACTTATACTAAAAAAAAAAAAAATGATCCGTGTGTATTTGAAATTTAACTCAGGAAGAGTGCGGGGGTAGTTCCTGTATTTTATCTGGCAACCCTGCCCCCCTCTGGCATGCATCCCCTTTTACCTACCAGGCAACTGAGGGGCAAGGTCTCAACTCTAGAGGAACTGCAGAACCCACAGGAAGGCTTTGGAGTTTACCAGAAGGATAGAAAAAAAATTCATTTATTGTCCTGGCTGGTTTGGCTCAGTTGATAGAGCATCGGCCTGCGGACTCGGGGGTGAGGGGGGTGTCCCGGGTTCGATTCCGGTCAAGGGCAC